AGCTAGCCGGGGGGCGGTTAGCATAGTTTTCCTTTTGCGTTTTTATGGACCGAGACGCAGTCGAACTTGATCAATGAAGAATTTATCATATAGCAAAAAGATTTCACTTTTAATAAGAATCAAGAATGACTTACTTATGTTCGTGCGCTGGAAAAGAAAGGTAACTGTAATGGCGTGTGCTCGTTTTTCATTTCACAAATGAAAAAATAGCGTAATTTCATTGGTTCACAGTGATGAACAGTGATCGTCAAAACTTCAGTTCAATTAAGATAGGGAACTACACAAACTTTACGAGGATTTGTTTAATTGCAGGGGATCAAGCAGGCAATCTCAAGCGGGCACGAATGGGCTTATGCTTGCTCGAATTGCCCATGAGAACATAGAATTCGCTTCATCTTGCTCACGGGCAATATGCCAGCACTACCAGCTATACCATTAATCTATTATCGGTAACCGTAAATGATCCTTAAGGTTTCCTTGACACTTTGTGTCATGGTACCATTTATTCTCCTGAACGGAGAGTGGCATTTTAGCAGTAAAGTGTTTAACCCAAGAACATAACATATGAGCCTCACCTCTCGTTTTTCGAGAGCTACGGCAGTTACGAAAGAGCACCCCTACCCCTACATTGAAAAGCTATGATTTAGGGAAATAATAACAAGTGAGAGGGGGGAAGGATTTTATTTTTATCACTAAGAGATTAAGTAAAGGCATGCAGGCACTGCTAAATCAACCTTTTCCCATAAAAAAAAAGAAACAAATACAAAAACAAAAAAACAAAAAACAGAACGATTCTGAATGGGAATCTGACTTGAGCTAACTCGATTTTAGGCATTTAATTGCCATATTTAAACTTTCAACATAAAGGGAGAATTAATTGAAAACAACTCACTGAATATTATCGGGCAGAATGTGACGACATCATAAATCATTCATAACCAATGAAGCAACAAATTTGAAAGCGACGTGATTCTAATTTAGAGAAGATTGGGCCAATGGGTGGTTTGCCACCAATCTCTAGAGACAAAGGTAACAATGGTGAAAGGAACAAATGCTGGTGGACGAACAAAAGGAGCTCCACCAACATGGCGCCGGCAATGACAACGTGCAAACCACCTATACTGATTTGCCGTATGAGTTTCGTGAAACTCGCTTTCCTGAGTATCAGAAATGCAAACTTCAACTTTCACGCACAGATTCTTTAAGATTAAAGATGTAGCTACAATTTTCGCGTACGATGAAGGATATTTATGAACTAGGAGCTTGCACATGAAAAATGCAACAAATTCGTTCATTTTCAGTATGAAAGCTGCCTAGAGATTATCAATTCATTATCTCTTGATTCTACTGAACTGTTTTGCTGTGTATGCGAGAGAAAGAAATCTCAGTCAGTTTTTAGTTCCTCCGATGTTTAAAATATTCGGTATATCAATTAAAATTGTCCTCAGATAAAAGAACTTACACACGTTTTAGTCAACACAGGAAATCCTTCCCTCCGCAGCTACAGCGGTCAAACGATCGTGCATACACACTTAGATGAATGATTTGCAATTGTAAACACGGAGAGCCTAAGAGAAACGAAGTTTTTCGCGGTTAAGAAAAATTCTAAGGCCGAGACTTTAACAAGACTTTACCCACTTTTGCTTGCATTGTTTACACTCGTTATTATTTTACACTGTACAGAGTGGTGCGATGTAGTCGTCCGCTAGTTTGGCCGTGCTGGCAGCAGTTACTCTTTGTTGTGTTCATCGTGGAGTTGCTGGTAAACACCAAGGGGAATGTGT